TAGGGAAAGTAGTAAAGTTGCTCTTATTGTTTTAACATAATGCAACAAATGTATAGCTTGTGCGTTAGGGAACCTATGCCAGAATAGTTACTATCTGTGCAACCCATGTATGTGCACGTGCACGTTACTGTCATAACTATTTGCATGACATAATCCCCGAGGGACCGCAACAGACCAGCCTGTTCTTGACGTGTGTCAGAAGCCATTTTCTGATCATTAAATGGGAAAAAAAAGAAGCTAGCGGAGATGTTCTTCTAGATTTGAGTCCAACAGAGGGGAAGGGGAGGCAACTGAAATGGAAGGCACCATGACCGCCAGCGAGGGAAGGCAGGAGAACAGCAAAGCAATTGTAGGAAAGCAGACCTCTACAGGCAGAGACTTGGGAGCCAAGGCAAAGAGGGGGGAAAAAGGGGTCTTCTGAGAAGAAGAAACATCACCGTAAGGGCCCAACACCACAACCGTCTGTTGAGGGGGACAAACAGTCCCCTAAAAGTGAGAACTTGACTAACTCAACACAGGCAAATACGATTTCTACTTCCAGTGTATCAAAAATACAAATAAATAGCACAAGTTGGGGGTGGGGGTGGCACAGCCCATCAGCAAGACCAGTAAGCTATGACTAGCAAGAGAGAAAAATGTTACAGCAGTCTATTACTAGCCCAGCAGAGAAGGGAAAGCGCTGGTCCATTACTCACTGGGGAGGGAAGGTAATCAACAGATGATGCTGAGATGTGTTAAATGCATTTGTGCTTCAAGCCTCTCTAAAAAGAACTGCCACGAGCCCTCTAGTAACAAGGAAAATGAGCAGCAAAAGGACTGACTTACGTCCAGTCTAGAGAAAAGACACAACTGGTTCCCGAGGTGGCTTTACCCGGTTCTTTAGGTACTTCGGGATGACTATTTTTCAAGCTCAGCTGATTTGAAACCACCTACCTTGCCTCGCCCGTTTACAGCTTTTCCTTCCTGGCCGGTATTTGTGGGAACAGCCTAATGTGTCTTTCCTAGCGGGAGCTGGTCCATTTTAGGAGTTTCCCACTGTATCCCTGTTACTCCCTCCCACCACTTGTCCCAAACTGTTTGCTTCTGCCCCTGGGCACTGAACACCAGCCGTGTTTTCTTCCTGAGAGAGTTATGGGACTGGCTCCAGGTGAGAAGGTGGAACATCTTGGAGGACGGATCAAGCTTTATTGAAACCAGAATTACAAATAAATAAACAATTATTGCTTGATAAATTATATTCAATAAGCCAGTTCTCTTGACAGCCCTATTCCAGCTAGGACGCCTTTAAAGCGTGCCACTTGCTACTACGTAGGAAATTTTCCTACCTGTGACCTTATCTTCAGTGCAGGCCCGAGTTTCAGCCCCATGTTGTTCAGTAAGTGCTCTTCCGTCAGGAGGGGCAGGGTCTCGCCGTCAATAGCCTGCTCTCGGAATACCTGCAAGAAACCAGAGCACAGGTCCAGGCTTAGAAATATCTGACGCGTATCTGACGCGCTCGCCTTGCCATTGCACGGAAGGGCGCCGTAGAAAAAGGTGGCCTCCGAGAGCCTCAGGGACGAGGTCGGCCCACGTTAATACATGAGAGGTACGTACAGTCCTGCATCCACAGCTAGGAGCCAACACGTAAAAGGAGACACACGTAGGAATGTGAATTAGGGCTGGTTGGGCCAGTTTAGATAAAACAATACATTTTTTTCTTTTTTTTTTCTTTAATGTTGGGAATGGGCGTGAAGTTTTTTTTTTTTCTCTGGGGAACATCCCCAGGTTTAGCAACCAGAATGGCTGACCTAGCTGACAGCGTATGAGAGCAGATTTGAGAAAGAAGAGTGACATGCCCAGGGGCCCTATCCCAACTCCAAAAAGGGCAGAAGACATAGGAGAAAAGATAAGAATCTAAATTTTGGCAAATCCTAGGTCACTCACACTTGTGTGGATATTTGGAAAAAGCTGACCCAGCAGACTTCAAAAATATTTGCAGTCTTCAGTGAGGCATATGCAACTGAAAAGGAGGGACTCGCTTGTTCATGCATTTCCTTCTCAAAGCTGCTGATTTCCAAAACAGTCTCCAGGCAAAATACATACCCAGATCTGTGGAGCACATTCTGCAGGTTAGATGGATTCATGTGCAACACTCAGTTTTGCACTTTTTTTTTCCTCCTCCTCCTTTGCCTGCCGCATATTACAACCACTCCTAGAACACGCGAGCAGCCCGGAGAACGCAGCCCGCCACGCTGCTTGGCAGCGACTCCCGATACCCAGAACACCAGCTGGGATCAGGGAGGATGAGCCCTCCTCACCCGTCTGTTTTAGCACTAAGCCCTTCCTTTTCCCCCAACACTTCTAGCAACACGGATTAATAAAAATGACAGCAGGGCTAGCATAGTCTTATAAAATAGCAGTTTCACATGAACACGTTCTAATACAGCCAGCCATGCAAAACTATCCCATTTTAACACAGTCTTAAGGACGGAAAAAAAAATACTTTGTCTTGCCTCTATCTATTTCAAGTGACAGGGTCATGCAAGAGTTTTCCACCTAATACGTACTGTGTTATAAAGGTTAAGGTCTGGAGAGGTGGTCTTATTGCTCCATTCTTCATATATAGAGCAGGGCTACGCTTACGCCAGCCTCCCCTGGGTGTTTATTCTGGACGTACGGCTCAACGCTTCAAGAGTAAACTGCCATCATCTGGTCACTTAGCCAGCAGGTTCCCCTCGGTTCTGGGAGACGTCGCTCAGATGCCTGGTTTTTCTTACTAAACCACACCTCTACGCCACAGCATTTTTTTCACGCCCCAGCTCATACTGGGTGCTCACCCAAAGGAGCTGCCTGTGGGGCCTGATCCTGCTGTCTCGCCGTGCAGTGCCTTATGCGCAGCATTATTATTGCTAACCACTACGGCAAGGGAGGGGGCTTCCATTTCCTCTAATGGCTTCTTTTTCGGCAGCAGACCTTAGCCCAGAGCCGTCCCTTCGGAGAGTGGCAGTAGCTGTTAGAGCCAAGGCAGCTGAGCTGTTGCAAGTGTTTTTTATTGCTGGACTCCAGCGGCAAAGCTGCTCACGACTGCAGCATGTGTTTCTGCTCTTTGACCTAGCAAAACTTACTACACCAATTTCTTTTCCTTCCTCTGAAGCCAATGTGGCTGGGAGCCAAAAGCCTCCCTTCGCTCGGCACTAAAACCCTCCACAAAAAGCCTTAACTTGAGAAAAGCGTCCCCCTTGGGCGTCCCACAGGTCTTGATCCACTGCGGGGACAAAGCTGAATATTGTCAAGGGCTGAGATCAGGCACGGCAACTTTTGTTTTTGCTGAAGTTTTCTTGTTTGTCTGAGACATGTTTCTAAATGCACAGCATACCACCAAACTCTTGCTGGGTTTTCCTGGCAGGAGAAGCCTGCAGACCAGTGCCAGACCTCCCCGGCAGCTGTGGTTTTGGAGAAGAGAACACAGGCAGCTCTGCAGTTTAGAGCCACAGAGCTGGGTCGCCCTTGAACACTGGCATTTTCACATAGTAAAAAACCTGTTAAGCGTATAACCATAGTGCATAAAAACGCATCATCCCTTAAGCCATGCACCCCCTACATAATGCAACATAGCAAGGCCACGACAGGAGGCTGTTTACAGCAGCTCCCATTATCGTAAAACATTTTGTTTGCAATGCACTGAGAAGATTGCTGAACCTTTGTCTCAGCAAGCTATTGATTTCTTCCCCACTGGTACACCAGGAGCTGGCATGGGAGGTGTAAATGGATGATCCTTCTGCAAGGTGGCTGTGTTAAAGATTGCTGCACATTTCCTACTGGCCTAATTCAGAAGCTTCCAGGCAACTCTGGTCTTCGTTCCCCGATGCGGGAATGCAGACAAACTGCAATACCACCAGTGCAAGAGCACTCTGTTTGGGGTGGGGGGTAACAGAGAACGTGAGTAGCTGTATATTTCGGTTTTAGAGCCTTTTGCTTGAGCTCTCTTTGACACATACTGCAGCCCACCCATGGACACTCACGAACCCATCACTCATCCCCCTATCATCCTCACTAAACCCAGCTCCTGAACTCTCCTCTACAGGCACAGACCTGCTGCTTCTCGCTCCCGTGAACACCCATCCATCCACCATCTTTTTTTAACCAGGGTCCTTTCCCTCCGTCTCTCCATAATCACCAACTGACCCTTCCCTCCTCCACACACCCAGGCACCCTGACCCACTCCCAAGCCCAACCCAAATCTCTGCCCTTCCTCTTGGGGAATGTTACATGCACCCCGTCTCCCTAACAAGCACTCACCGTCCTAAATACCGCCTCTCGCATGCATGCACGCACGGCTGTTTGCTCCAAAGCAGCACGGCTTTTACAGGTGGTTTTAACAAAGCATGTTGTGATGGGATTACCCTCCCATCAGGGGGCAGGGAAGGACAGACTTCAGATTGAAAGCACATTATCCCGTCACCTGAGCAAGAAGGGGGAGGCGTGGGGCAATTCCAGGTTTTCTCTTCCCCATCCCCTCTCTGGAGGGACGCAAAAGCGTGCACCTCTCCCCGTGGCACACTCCCAAATCAGCATAACCTGAAGGGAATCGCTTCCCTGGAGCCAGATCTGCACGCTGCTCTGCTAGCAGGCGGTCCCCGCAGAAGCAGGGGTGCTGAGCTTTTACCTTCCTCAAAATGGCTGGGGGCAGGCATAAGTTCTGGGCGAGGATGCTTGCCTAATGCAACTAACAGAGGGAGAGACAGCAAGGGCCACAGAGGACGAGGCAGCAGATTTTTAGAACTCAGATTTCAGCCAGCCTGGATGTCAAAGCACAGCTTCGCACTCCTTAGCTGTCAGTCAGGGAAGCTCCTCTCCTGAACTGGCATGTCCGGAAAGCCCAACTCCTGCTCTCCTTCCTCCCTTTCAAGACCTGTTCTCAGCCTAGGATGTCTCTCTGCTGAAAGGCTGGATTGTCCCGAACTTTGGCCCTTTGCCTCTCTATCTCTGCTACTTTCAGTCCCTGCCTTCTAAGCACACTAGATCCTCTTTACAAGGCTGTCCCAGACAGCTCAGGAATCTGTGCCTTCGCAGTTGGTGCATTCTCTCAATGGGGCATTTATAATGGACTCTAGCAGATGTGGAAGCCAAAAACACAGGGTTGGTTTTTGTATTGCACCTCACGACCTCACACTGAGCAGGCTTTATGAAGCCCCCAGTACCAGTGGATATTTCAACTCTGCTATAATGAGCTTAAAAATCACAGTTGCCATCACTCTACAGCGTAAGCACGGTGGTTACTTTGACGCTTGTGCAGGCAGGGTCTCGCACAGCCCCGCTCTGCCCTCGCAACGCTCTGGGTGCAGCAAGAGAATGCGGCACCTTCTGCCAGGCTGGCTGGTACCGCGAGCTGCCCAGCCCGATCCAGGGACTGCCCGACAGCCCGTCCCACAGCACGGCTGCCCCACACAAAGCCACCGCTGTGTTCAGCTCTGCAACAGAGCACAGGGCAGCTTCTAAAAGCATGAGCTGGACAGTGAGAGGTAAGCAATACTAACAGCCACTAACCATGATCAACCCCGCAGCTCAGATGCTCACTCCTAACCTTGCCCCTACGCCCATCCTCTCCTGCTGGACTCTGTCCTTATTGCTATCCATCTGCAAGGCCCATCACACACCTTCTCGGGGTCTTCACTGGCAGCAAGCAGCTATTTAGCAATCCACTAGAAAAAAAAAACAAACCAAAAAGCTTCAGGCCCTGCAGGGCTCTGAGATATACCTTCTCCTAGGATGGCCGATGCAAACAAAATAGGCACAGATGGGAGGGAGAGAACAGGGGCTTGCAGGGAGGACGCTCCTCCCGTGATGGTCTTGAGGCTGTTAAGAGATTTACCTGAGTGTACTCGGTGCAGCCAGACAAGTTGGACACAAAGCTGCAGACGTCCTCCACCGTCCATTTGCTGATGTCTTCCAGCGCAGGGCTTTCCTCACCATCCAGAAACAGACCTCCCATGGTGCCTGGATTGTTTGGAGTTGGGGGGTAGGAAGGAGGGGAGGAGAAAGAAACATAAATCATTAAAATCCCACACGGACAACAACTAGCCTGCAATCTGAATATTTTTCTCTAGCCACACATTCATCTTTAATGACCTGTCAATTAAAGCACTGGGCAGGGTCAATTCATAGGCCTCTTCCTCCTGGAGGTCCCCAGCTTAGAAAGGGGGGCAGGGGAAAGGAAAAATCCTAGCTAATGCATTTCATGTGTTTAATGTTCTTCAGCTGCGGGGAAGAAATGGGGGAAGGGGAGAGAAAAGAAAAAACCCTGAAGGAGTGTTTCTCCACACGCACCGCAAAGCGGAAAACTCTGACTGCCCTGTGGGTTTCTTTCCCCCAGCCCTTCTCCTGGCTACGTGCTCCGAATGATAACAGGCTCCAGCCCTTCTCCCCGGTGGCCCGCTGCCTTGCCGGAGCGTGAATCACTGGAGAACGCCTTGCTCTTTCAAAGTGTTCACTTTCAATCCACCCCAGCCTGAAATATCCATTGGATCGCTCTGCCCCAACACAGCCGCTGCCTCAGAATACACCGCCCTCCACTCCACCACAGGAGCCGGGCATCTCTCCTGGCCCAGCATCTGATGGGTGACGGGCCCTGCGACACTCTGAAGATAGCACAGCTCAGTTCAAGCCGATATGTCAATTCTCCGAAACGCAACCGCTGTTCAGGTTGC